GCTCAGATCTATACCCGTCCCTCTACTGGGCCACGGCTCCCTCGACAGAGTCGACAATGACCCCCATTCAGGACCCTCAGCTAACTTTACTTACTTACTTACATACTACAGCCAATACAAAAGGAACCTTCAACTCCTGTTTCCAGCTCTCCATTAAACACATTAAAAATCACTGGCCCTACAATGGAGCCCTGAGGCACACCCCTAGCATCCAGACGCCACCTGTTCCATGGTCAGATGACATACTGCAAGGGATGGTATCGAAGGTCCTACTATGACCGAAAACAACCTACATCCGCCGCCTCTCCTTCATCCACTGTACAGGTGGCCTTCCCATAGACAGACATTGGCTTCCCTGGACAGGACTTCTCCTTCCCGACCCCCGTGTCAGCTATGCCCACTGACAGCACCGTCCTTTACGCACCTCTCCACGGCGCCTGATGGGCTCTTTGGCATCCTTTCTCCATGTACCAGGGATCTGACGCACGGGCCCCAGCCTCCTCCATTTTTCCCTCCCGCCCCAGTCAGAAAAAGGACTGACACCGGCTAGAATCTTAGATTCATAGAGTCATAGAACCATAGAATCATAGTTGCATAGAATGGTTTGGGTTGGAAGGGACCTTTGCGGGTCATCCAGTCCAACCCCACCGCCACGAGCAAGGACATCTTCACCTAGATTGGGTCGCTCGCGGCCCATCCGACCTGACATCACACGTTCCTGAGGATGGGGCATCCACCACCTCTCCAGGTGACCCATTCACAGTATTTCACCACCCTTGTCCTAAAAAATGTCTTCCTTATATCTAGTCTGAATCTGCCCTCTTTTAGTTTAAAACCATTACCCCTTGTCCTATCGCTACAGGCCCTGCTAAAAAGTCTGTCCCCATCTTCCTTATAAGCCCCCTTTAAGTACTGAAAGGCCGCCATAAGATCTCCCCGGAGCCTTCTCTTCTCTGGGCTGAACAACCCCGACTCTCTCTGCCTGTCCTCACAGGAGAGGTGTTCCATCCTTCAGACCATTTTTGCGGCCCCCCTCTGGACCCACTCCAACAGGTCTGTGTCTTTCCTGTACTGAGGACTCCGGAGCTGGACACTGCACTGCGGGCGGGGTCTCACCAGAAGAGAGTAGAGGGGCAGAATCACCTCCCTCGACCTGCCGGACACACTTCTCTTTATGCAGCCCGGGAGACGGCCAGCTTTCTGGGCCGTGAATGCACATTGCCGGCTCATGTCCAGCTTTTCATCCACTGGCACCCCTGAGACCTTCTCCGCGGGGCTGCTCTCAATCCCTTCATCCCCCAGCCTGGATCGATACCGGGGGTTGCCCTGACCCAGCAGCATGGGACCTGGCCAGTGCAACGTGATGCTCCCTGAACGCCCCGAACCTTTGGGATGCCATTGACAGTAGTTCGGCTCCAATGTCCGCCGACCTCCCCCTTCGGCACCCCAGGACTTACGCGCAATAGACAGAGACAATCGGTCCCTTTCAATTTCGGGAACGGCACTCAGAAAGATGCCGCATGCCTGCCTGCGGTCCTCCGACCTGGCAGCCCCCAGTCTCTTGTCAACATCGTTACCGACGGGGACCATGAAAGGCATTGCTCACCCCCGTCTTGGCCTCCTCCCTATTGATCGGGTGACCATCTGCCTCAAGTATCACACCATTATTGCCCTTTGCCCTCCTTGCACTTGTAGCATACTTCCTTCCTGCCTTCCTTACTTAAACAAGGCTTTTTTTCATACTCTGACCCAACACATGCCTCGAGTTCAGCTTCGGCCTTCCATATTCTCTCCCAACATACATGAGCTACCTGCTTCCGCCGAGCTAGTCTCCAGCCACCGGAATGGTCCTCCTCACCCCCATCTAACCATACATCCAGGATTCCCCCATCCCGGACGCGCCATCCGGCACAGGGCCCTCTTGCCTTCCATACGGCCAGGGTTCGCCTGGCACCCCGCTCTGTCGCTGGGAATCCCTCTGCACCACCCAACTACCCTCGATGGGCTCTATGGCTCCTGCCACGGTGTTGCCACCAAGCTTACTTATTTTCTTTCTGACTGACTCACTTACTGTCTTCCTTACAGACTCTGGACTTCCTTACTGACCGACTGAGACACTAGTTGACCCCCACGGCCGCCTCACCAACAGGAACATCACGCCGATGCAGCCCTGCCATCGGGCCCCAGGAAACGCCACCCATGCAGTGCCCCATTTTGCGCAACTCCCAGAGCCTTGGCCTCCAACCGATGGTTTGCGTGTCGCATCTACTTCCATCCACTCTACATTTTACAGCCACAGGCCCTTGTCCTGCTACTACAGGTGCTGGTCACAAGTCTCCCCACGTTACTCCCGTGAGCCCCCTTTCAAGACTGACAAGCCATGCCACAGTCTCTTGGGAACCTTCCCTCCTCTGAGCCTGAGGTGCCCGACTCAATTGGCCTCTCTATGTAGCAGAGGCGTGCCAGCCCCGCAAATGTTCCCACGGCCCTCCTCCCACCCTGCTCGCCCAGGTCTTTCTCACACCAGATGCCCCGGGATGGTGCGTTGGTCTCCAGCTGGGTTTTGAGCCCATGGGCGGAGCGGCAGGACCACCTTCCTTGACGCCGTAGCTACACTTCCCCCAGTGCAGGCTGGGAAACCGTCAGCTTCCCGAGCTGCCGGCAAGCACGCCTTGCTGCCTCCCGCCCTGTCACCAATCTGCCATGATCCCCGAGCACTTCTCTGTGGGGCAGCTCCCACACAGTTCATCACCTGCTCATCCTTCATCCCAGGGATCACCTCAACCCAGATGCTGTCCCGCTCGGCACGCAGGCCCTCCTCCCCATCGAGGGCCCCATGAGATAGGACCGACAGAGACCGCTGCCCAATCCTGGATCACCAACTCGTGCCGCTGCTATCCCTTGACAACACTGCATGCCCAGGACTCACCCACAGAGTGACCCCGATGCCGTTTCTTCCCAGCCCCGAACATCACAGAGCCCCTGCGCCCTACAGAGGGGACAGGCCGCTACTGTCTCTGAGGCTAATCACCCACGAGGGGCTATGGGGCCAGCGCGCTCTGTATCGCCAGGCCCCTTGCTACCCATGGATGGGCCCAGGGTCAAGGAAGGAGGCGGGATGGGGTGCCGGGAACACTTCGCTGGCCCAGCTGCCGGGACCTCGACTGCTAGATCCCACCAAACGGGGCATGCACAATGCCCATGCCCAGCCAGCGTTGTTAAGTCACTTGCCCAAGGAAGACTCTGGGCAATGCTATGTCATGCCCTGCATACCCTACAGACACAGTACAGCTTTGTGCCTGCACAGATGTTAGGCCCAGGCCGCTGCCGATTTGGCGCCGCACCTCCACATTACCTATAGCCAAGCCAGCAGGCGAAGTGACACTGCTTCGCCCAAAGACTGTCGCTCCGCTCCCTGTAACCAGGTTGCACTAACAAAACCCTGCGGGGCTGCCGTGGGTCAGCTGCACCCTGCCTGCAGGACGCAGCCCCAGGCTGATGCCCCGGCTTGCTCCCTCGGCATCCGCCCTCTGCCCTCCGCCTACATGCCGCTTCGCACAGTGCCACCCGCCCGGACCTCCCTGACACCTGCCACCATACCCAACGCCACGGCACGGTCCGCCACCTTGCCCGCTGGCGGCACACACGCCGGAGGCGGCCGCAGCGCTTCTGCGGTCCCCCTCGCGTCCAGCCCCGCACGCCCCAGCGTCGGGGTCCCGGAGCGCTGCGCCTGCACCCTGCGCGACCCCGCGGCTC